GGGGTCAGAGCAGGGTCAGGACTCCTGGGTGCTTTTGCTGCTGGAGAACAGAAGCAACTCACCCTCTTTGAAGGCCAGGCAGGAGGATGGGGGTTCCCTGTTCTGCAAAGCAATGAGAGAGCAGGTGAGGCTCTGGGTGGGACCCCAGGGATTTGGCTTATCTGCCTCGCAGCCAGGCCACCCCTGCAGCACCAGGGCAGCAAGGGGCACGGCATCCTGAGGCTGGGGGCAGGGGGGCCCAGGGTCCTGGGGCTGGAGGGCTGTTTGGACCCACCAGCCTCTTCCCTGGGGCACGCACAGATCAGACAGCCATGCAAGGATCCCCCTGCATTCAGGGTAGCAGGAGCCAAAGCCAGTACCGAGGGTCTTGTCTGGGCACCCCAGCAGCATGAGGCCCTGTAAGACCTGAGGAAAAGACAATCCTGGCTCCCCTCTGCCCCCCCTCAAAAACCCACGGGGAGCAGAGCCAAGCGGCACGTCCTGGCTCGCCGCCGCACCGCCGCAGCCCGTGCGCGATGCACTCACGGTCACGCCGCCTTGGGGGGGCTGCTCTGCCTCTGGGGCCGGAGCGGGAGGCAGGGCCACCCAGGCTGGCTCCAGGGAACCTTCCCGATTGCCCTCGCAGGCCGATTCGACCTCGCAGAGACCCTCTCCATAATACCAGCTGCCGGAAGGTCCTTCCTCCGCTTTCCCCAGTCCTTCAGGCTTCTCCACAGCGGCCAGTTCCTCCCGAGCTTGCAGCATCTCCAGGTTGGTTCCAGCCAGGATGTCAGAACGGGCCAACGGTGTCTCAGTGCTGGCCTCGGGCAGCCCCCCCTCGTAGCACAGGAGGCTCAGCAAGTCCTCTCGGTCGGCCTCGGCAAAGAGCAGGCCATGGCAGGGCCGGGAGCAGGGCGAGTGCTGGGCGCAGCAGGGCCGTGTCTCCAGGCCCCGGCCCATGGCCACGTGCAGCGGGCAGGGCCGGCACTTGCCCTGGCACTCCCCGTAGCTCCGGGCCTGCTCGCCCGCCAGATGGTCTGTGCTGGCGCTCAAGGAGGGCA